TTTATATTTTTAATTTTATGATGTTCTGAAAATAATTTTATCTTGCTATTTGGTAGATCACTCATTAAAAAAATTCCGAATCATAAGGAATTTATAAGTTGGCTGAAAACAAAAACCTTTGAATGGTTACATGATAATCAGTTCAAAGATTGGCAATTAGAAATTGCGGTGAACAAAAAAGATTTATATTTGTATTCTTCATTTTCAATTGCTTTGCAAATATATATTCGTCATCAAGTCAGAAAGCCAGTGGCCAAACTTTTGATTGCTTTAGAAAAGTTATCAGGACTTTTAATTCTTGATAGTGATAATTTATTTAATGAAGTGAACGGTGATGGCGAGGATATCGATGAAGATAATAATACTACATTCTCCTTATGGGAACCGATAATTATGAATACTAAGATCGTTAATATTGAAAACATAAAAATTCCTTATAAAATAACAAGCAATATTCGTGGTTTAAAACTTCCATTTTCACGATATTTTATGGAACAGATTAACAAATTTAAAATCGTATATCAAGATGATTTAATGATGCTAGAAGGAGTCCCGGATAATATTGATGAAGAAACTGGTAATCTCAAATCACATATCATTGACGACTGCATTAAAAGGTTTTCTGAACATATTACGTCTATAGTTCCTGTGTTAAAATTACCACGATTTAAATTTCCAAATGCATATTTCAATGACTTTGTAGCTATCATTTCACATGGAAAAAATTGTAACAGCAAAATATTGCGCCAGATTATATCTCATCATATGAGAAAAGAAGTACCAGACCCGATAAAGCTTCATATATTTTGGTGGGACAATGAAGATTTAATATTAACTGAAATGCAGCTAGTTTTATTATTTCCAAGTATCGAAGAAGAAATATTTAACACAAATTTTAATAAAAATGAAGAATTTAATTTTGATGATTATTTACTGGAGCGACAGTCAGATATTATGATTAATAAATTTTGTGACATCATTGACAATAGTGGTAAGAAAGACAGTAAGATCAGTAGAGATGATGGTTTGGATGATAAATATGATGACAATAAAAAGGAAAATAATGATAAGCATGATAAAGGCGATGAAAACCATGGAAATGAAGAGGAAACTAATGATAAAGAACATTCGAGTTCCTTTGATGAGAATAGCCCAGCTCATATACAAATTAAGCTTCAACATTGGCAACGTTGTGTTGTCACTATTTTGTCAATTGCTTGCAATTTGCCAAATTCGTTCGATAATCAATCATTAAATATGCTTCGAGTATATAACGACTTATCTAAATCAATTCCCTTAGCACAGTTGCTTCAAATTAGGC